ATTCAATATATCTATGTCTCTCTATTTGTCTTTTTCTCCTTTTTATATCTGCTGCCTCTTTCCCTCTATCCATTGTATCACACCTCTCTAGGGTCATCTTAATTGCTTTAATTGCATTCAAAATTTGTACGAGTTGCATTTCAGCATTCAAATTGGCGTTTAAATTGTTTAATTTGGTTGATTTGTAATATTTACTCTCGATAAGCTTCATTATTAATGGGCGCCGGTGTGCGTGCATGTGTGGGTGTGTAATAATTTAAAAATTACATTCATAATTTATAAAAATGTAAACAAATAAATAACAAACAAACAAGGCGTAAAAAACAGAGCAGATCTCTCGTTGAGGGGCCGCTGGATAAATGCCCTTCACAATGATGATAATGAGCTTCGAAATGCTGATAGTCATGGCTTTAATATGAATATTTGAATGTCTTGCATTGCCAGGCATCTAGCCACACACTTCAGCTTGACTACGGGCAACACCTGTGCGACAGACAGAGAGAGAGAGAGAGAGAGAGAGAGAGAGAGAGACACAGTTTATACCAATATTAACATGCCCTCTGCTAGAGTATATATAAAACAACAACTGTAATTGCTGGCAGCTGCAGAGTAATAGACGAAGGCGACAATGCCAAAGCACAGGATGTGCTCAATGCTGATGAGCGTGAGGGAGGGAGGGGAATGGGTACTGAGGATGAGACCTGGCCATGCCCAGTAATTCAACGTGTTGTTGCTTCGTGTGAGTGCAACAACATAATTGTTGTAGCTGTTGAACTTGTTGACCATTTGCCGCCCCATATTGAAGGCAAGCCCCTAGTCCCCCAGTCCCCCAGTCCCCCAGCCCACAGTCCCCAGTCGACCCAGCAGCCCCTAGCCCTCCCCCGTCGACCAGGCGCAGTCATAGTTCGAGTTGCAGTCTCGTTCAGATTTGCATAATAAATGAGATACAAAAGCCAAGCGGCTACTGTCACATAGCCACTGGCCGTGTGCCATCTATAATGATGATAATAATGATGCAGATATATGTTCAAACAAACATAGCCAGATAAAACCGAGAATGGCAGCCGCGCGGGGCGAAGGGCCGTGGTGCGGGCAGCTGGGGGAACGAGCGCACAGACAGGTGCCAAAGGGCTGTTTTCGAGGGGAAATGTCAGGGCATACATACATATATGTATGTATGTAGATGCACCAAGGTGTGAGTGAACACAAACACACACACACATACACACACACATTAAATGGGGTGCATATGCTACACACACACACATAGACAGACGTTGCCTGGACAGGGCGCAGATGTATGACAAAACAATATGCAAATTTTGTTGCATACTTTTTGGAGACAGCGTGAAAATCATTTCAGCTAAGCAGACACCCAGCTACGGCTGCTGCTGCGCTGCTGTTGCTGCTGCTGCTGCTGTTGCTGCTGCTGCTGCTACTATAGTCAGTCAGCCCAATCAAACAAATAAACAAGCGCAACAACAGCAACAACAAAAGCAACAGTCGGGACAGGGCAACGGACAACGGACAACGGCTACATAATGCCTTTCCGGTATCCAATAAACCGACTGCACTTGGACAGCCCGGATTTCCGCTTGAATCATTGATGAGCTATTAAAGTCATTTCTATTTTGCTGTTTGTTGTGCGGCTGCTACGGCTCGTCTAACAAGCAACAGTCTCCAGCTCTACCTCTACTTTGGCCTCTGCCTCTGCCTCAGCCCTACTCCATTGCCGCCCACTGGCAATTGCACTTTTGCCTCTCTGTTGTTGTTGCTTCGATTGTTGTTGCTGCTTCGGTCATCAACAACTTTTGTCACGTTCAAATTCCGTAGTTTATCACAACGCGTTGGGGAATTCACTCTGCAAATTAAGCAGGCGGCTGCCGTGGGTGTTGGACTGAAGGGGAAATTGCCAAAAAGCAGCTCCGGCCAGGTGGCAACGCTGTCATTCAAGTTGGCCATGGTAGTGCTAACTGCTCATTTCAGGTATCGATTGTTATCGCTTTGAAGCGCATTAAACGTTGAGTATCGATTAGCTTGTCAGATCAAGTCATGTTGTCGGTGTCATGCAGCTGACACTTTAAATATCGATAAATAACTTAGTCAAGCCGATAAGTTCTAGTGTCTATAGTTATCGATTTGAATAATGAAATCATTTTGCATTTATAAAAGCTGGAAATCGATAATATATAATTCTGCTATCCACTTTTATTACCATGTATATGACAATCCGCATTCCCATCTGCATTATCGATAATTATCGACTCCAAGCATGTGGAAATAGCCTCACAGGTCATCCTTTATTCAGCCACCCATTCATTTATCGATCAATTATGAACTTCGATTCGGTCGTTTTTGTCCGATAATCAACTTGCCTGAATGTACATAATTTGATGCTAACAATTAGCGCAAAAGGAAAAGAAATTGATTTAAGCCGCTTTTAAGTGCCGCACACAACGACAGAATGCGTCCATTGTTTACGTATGTCCTCTCGCGGCATTCTTAATGAAACTCGACATGGGACTCGAGCAGTCCCTGCGGGACGTGCAGGGCTGGACGGCATGTCCGATAGGCAAAAAGCTTAAGAGCCGGCAATTGAATCGTTGCTGCCCATTCGCCTGACTGCCCGCAGTTAATATATACCCTGTAGAGAGTTGCTTGAGGATGAGGCTCATAAATGGGGCTTGGGTAGTAGCAATCGAATCACTTAAATATATCGATAATTACCAATCAGAATTTGCAGACATGTCTAATGGACTTTGAGAGTCAGCAAATAAATATTTATTTAATTTACTTAATTAATAGTGTTTAATTTCGATAAATCACCCTGTTTCAAAACCGATAAATATCGATAACCTTTTATTGAGCAAATGATGAAGAAGTTTATCGCGATGCTGTTCTTTGATTCGTGTGAGTGATGTCACGCAATTACAGGGTATTGTCTAGCTGAGCATTTTGCAGCACTTTAATTTGTTGCTGCTGCGGCCGTATGCGGGAGGACGTGGCAATTGCCACGACGACAGCGACGACGTTGACGGAAATGAAAAGATAATTTACCCGCATGTTTCAACATCAGCATGCCATGCCACGCCCACGCACACGCACACACAGGCACAGGCGAAGGCAACGGGCTGTGAGCGGCTGGGATATCCATGAAGATGAAGCTGACTCCCATGTAGGCGGGGATTGGGTCATCATCGTGCCGCTAATGCTAATGCTGGTTATCTGTCTATCCATCAGCTGGCCATGTTATGATGTAAATGCCGAGCCACTCGACTGCTGCCACTGATGATAATGGCCACCACAATCCGCCGGCTGTGACTCCAGCTCCACCACCGACACCGACACCGACACCGACTCCAGCTCCGAGTCCGGCCATGACTTTGGCTCCGGCTGCAGCTCTGGCTGCGACTCCTGTTCGAGGCAAATATGTCGCTGCCCGTCTTGTCATTGGGCTCTGCAGCCGGCAGACGAAGCTGCCAAACATTTAGTCTGTCTGCGGCGCACACACACACGCACACACACACACACGCACACATGCTCAGTCACAAATTTATTGTTCTTAAACATTTGAGCATGAATGAATGACTGTGCGAGCTAACTGGAACTTGCGTCTGGCCATTGGTATTGTTATCGGGAGTGGGTATCGGGCACTGCGGCTGGAGCCCGGCCCTGGTTATATTTGAATGCCAAGTTGCCAGTTGTCACAAAGTGAGTGAAATATAGCCAAAATGTCAAATGTCAGCGAAAGACATTATTACTGGCTAGTTGATCCGACGTCTCCGTCGCCGTCGTCGTCGTCGCCGTCGTCGCCGTAAACTCCAACTGGTGCTTCTGCTTGTTGCCTGCCTTCTTGTCATACGCCTCATCCTGGTACGGATTGTCTTCGTCTGCAACGGCGCAGATAATCGATACGCACACGCATTGCATGCCCTCTCCCTCTCTCTCCGTGCGCTCTCTCTCTCGCTCTTTCACTCTGGGTGTGTGAGACCGAAAACCGAGACCATGTCAGCCCATCAGCCAACATCATCAAGCGTGTGTTGCTCCTGCTGCTGCTCCTGCTACTCCTGCTGCTGCTCCTGCTACTCCTGCTGCTGCTGTCTGCTTTGTACGGGCCTTTAAAAACTTCAGCTTGAACTTCAACAGCCTTGGCTTTTAATTTGCTCATCAGGCTCATCGAGTGAAAAAACTAATTTAAGCTTACAGCAAAAATTCATTAAATAGCGTTTGATATATTACAAAATAAAACCAATCAATTATTTATTGAAATTAAAATTTTTAAAATTATACGAGTTCGTGTCGGATAAAAAAGCATTAAGTAGGATTTTAAATTCCAAACACTTTGCACTCTGCTGCTACACGAACTATTCTCATAAGGTAAAACAAGCTTAAATGGAGCCTTAACTTAGAGATTGTTTTACAGGATTTACCTATGAGATTGCTTTACATATACTTCCAAGTGCTCTTTGGAGCTTTTGAGTTGTTGCCGTGTGTGATACATTGCGCTCATCCTAGCTTTAACAGAGCTTTGCTTCCTCGAATAGGATTTTTTATGTTATTTATTGGAATTAAAGATTTGAAATTATTTAAGAAATTATGCTTTATTCTAATTTAAAAATTTATAATTCAGTTTTCCTTTTGCTGCTGTATTAACTGTTCTTCTATGCTAATGAAAGGTTAAGCAAAGCTTTAACCCATAGTTAGTTTTATATGAGTAAGCTATAAAATTGACGTATAACTAGGCTGCGTCGTATCTCGCATCTATTTGGATACTGCAATTACATTGTTTGCACTTAAACGAGTTGAAGTGTTAACAAAGCTTTTTCATCATGCATGAGCTTGCAAAGCTACATCTCAAGCTGTTGAATGCTTCAACTCCAAACTGAGCTTTTCGCTCGTTTGAGCTTGGCACAGCTTTCATGTGCTTTTCGAATCGAACCAAAAGCTTTGCAACTTATGTCATTTGTTAACGTAAACTAAAGCTTCAGCTCTAATTAAAAAAAAAATGTTTGTTAATCTCATTCACACACACCAGTCAACACACACATTCAAAGAATAGAAAAAGTGAAATTTTCGTAATAGCTTTAAGCGAGTAGCAGGAGGCGGGCATCCACACGGAATGGAGAGTCTGCGCAGAACCGAGGTACGCGAATACTTCGTGGGCGACTACAAGCTGCTGGACCAGTTCGACAAGGGCTGCTTCGGCGACGTCTACCTGGGCAAGTCGCTCTACACCGGCGAGCGTGTGGCGATCAAGCTGGAGAAGAAGCGCACGGCGCATCCGCAGCTGGCGTACGAGTATCGCGTGTACAAGACAATGCGTCCGGCTTTGGGACTACCGCGCGTCCACTACTATGGCGAGGAGGATGACTATAACGCCCTGGTCATGGATCTGCTGGGTCCGTCGCTCTACTACCTGTTCGAGTTCTGCGGGCATGCGTTCACCATGAAGACCGTGCTGATGCTGGCGGACGAGCTGCTGTTGCGCCTGGAGCAGGTGCATGGCCGGGGCTTTGTGCATCGGGACATCAAGCCGGAGAACTTGTGTATCGGCCATGATCTCACGTGCAAGTTCGTGCATCTGATCGACTTTGGGCTGTCCAAGAAGTACTGGGATCCCATTTCCAATGTGCACATACCCTACCGGGAGGACTGCAGCCTGACGGGCACGGCGCGCTTTGCGTCCATCAACGCCCACGAAGGCATCGAGCAATCACGCCGCGATGATCTTGTCTCCGTGGGATATCTGCTCATCTATTTCCTGAGCGGCAGCCTGCCCTGGCAGAACCTGCCGGCCCCTACAAAGGAGAAGAAATATGAGGCCATCTACGAGATGAAGCGCTCCCTGAGCAGCGAGCAGCTCTGCAGCGACTATCCCAACGAGTTTGCCATGTACCTGAACTACTGCTACAAGCTAGGCTTCACTACCAAGCCGGACTACGCCATGCTGCGCAAGAGGTTCCGCGGGCTGTTCAACAAGCTGTACTATAAAAGGGACCTGATCTACGACTGGGAGAAACTCAGTTTAGAGTTTCATCGTGATCAGAAAAATCCTGGCGTAGGCAGCAGATATGCTCCCGGCAAATATCTTCCGGATGATGGACGCAGTGGCTATCCAATTATACGCAACGATAAGGCAAGGTCCTGGAGTTAGCCACTTACAAAATGTCGGAACTACAGACTAGTTCCACATAATCGAAATTAGAGTATGGTTGCAGGAATATCCATGATGAATGAGCCCAAATCGTAAATATATAATAGTTAAATGTTTCATAATAGTTAAATGTTTCCAAAAGTATTCAAGCTCAGCAAACTAGTTCCAAGTGTATTGCAATATTAAACTACGAATTACCAATAAACAGATAATAATAAGCTATATGATCTAGTTCCAATGATGAATGATTTGTCATTAAGTTGTGTTATCATCAGATGTGTAACCTCCAGATGCGCGACATATGTAATAGGCTAGGTGAACTAGTTCCAATAGCAATCGAGTTACTAATAGATGGAGTCAGCGCCAGGCTGAACTAGTTCCGATGGTAATCGAACAAACAAAAACCAGCTTTATATATCATTGAATAAGTATAATAATACGCTAAGTAAACTAGTTCCAAATGAATTACCAATAAACTGAGAGCTGGGCTAAAGGAACTAGTTCTTAAAGTAATAAAAAAAAAAAAAAAAACAAAAAAAAGCTATAAGCTTTAGATACCTTTAAATAGCTCTAAAAATAGGCCAAGTGAACTAGTTCCAATTACAAAGGAGTTGTTCATAAACTGAGTGAGCTTCGAACACACCAGAAATCATCTCAGCGTAAGAAGGAATACTATGTATATAAATAATTCATGTTGGTTTTGCGAAAAACAAATATAATTTTAGTAAGCTTTGAAACTTTATTACATTTGTTTTATTTTATTTTATTTTTATTTTTCTGTATTC